CTGTCTCTCTCCACAGGGGACAAGCCCGCCGCCCTGGTGGTGATGCACCACACCTACAACCCCGAGGCAGTTGTGGCTGAGAGCAGCAGACTGGTGACCAGGAGAGACACACTGACTGTGGACTGTCTGTTCCACGAGACAGTGGGGGGACTGCAGGACAGCTGTCCCACCAATGAGCAGGCTGTGAGACGGGTCTCCAAAGCCTTAAAACTTAAAAAAAAGCTGGAAGAAAAACCAGAGAAAGGGAAAAGCAGGCCCAGTGTCTAACAGTGCGCAGTGCAGCCTACAGCATCAAAGTGAGCCTCGTCCCCTCTGTATATAACTCGTACTGTATGATGCGCTGAAGAGATCCGACAGGCAGCACACTGACCACTAAACACTCTCACTCTCTGTGCACGCTGGGACTTTTCCAGTAGCACAATACCAGCAAGCCATGCGAACATCAGTATTCTCAGCAATCGATCAGTATTCCTGAACTCTTTAGACTGCATATGTACTGTAGTCTCTTCCTCTGCTGGGTTAAATACATGTATCTCTGCTGCTTAGCATTACAAATACCCCAGTGCCGTCACTGGTTCCCAGACTCCGTCTCTCAGTGGGTAGGACTGGGAGTGTTGTGGCGTCCTGAGATGATCTCAGGTTAGAGTACACCAGGAAGAGGATGGACAGGACTCTCTGAAGGAAACACGTCTCTGTAGTGAATTAGGAGGTAACCTTAGTGGTCTTACCGATATGAACCCTAGGTGACACGACATGACCTACAACTCTAAACATGCTTTATTCACCAGCACGGGCATGAGCCCTTCAGCCCACTGCCCTCAGGCAAGAGACACAAGAGCATACGGACACTGACCACCAGGGTCCTCAATAGCTTCTACCCACAAGCAGGGCGATTGGCCCTGTCCCTCGGAGCACAACTACACCATCACCCTCTCCCTCATGATGAATTCTTATTTATTGCCCATCTCCAGTCATTGTTTACGTTCAAGCTGTTTACTTGTTGGCTCGTACATTGTCTGCTGTTTGTTTGTCTGTTGTCTTGATGCACTGTCTGCACTCTGTGTTTTTACACTTGTTTTAACACTCGAGGGACTTTCTGTAGGTAAGAATTCCATCGTACCGGTCACATATGGCAATAAAGTTCAAGATCAAG